ACTTGTAAAACCGGTGCCAGTTGGACATGACACATTTTTGCACATTTCCGAATCACTCATGAACAGATTCGATCAAACGAAACTGCATTTTAAACCTTTCAACTTTTTCTATTGTTTTCGGGGGATCTTCCCCTTATCCAGACTGAAATAGACAAGTAAACTTACAATAGCATTGGACAAAGACATTTGAAATAAAGTTTGTATGTAGTAACGTGACTATATTAAGCCATGTTAAAGTACAAGATAAGTCTTGTAAGGCAAATGGAAAATGAAAATAAAAAGCATTTTGAATGAGTAAATTTTGTATTTTGTCCATTGCGTTTCAGCAATGCGAAAAACTATTAACATTATTTATATTAAGTTGTTTTCTTTTTCAGTTTGAGAGTGATCATTTGATTATTTCCCCAAGTTTACTACAAAGCAAATATTCCTTTCTATCTATTGTATATAAAAATAAAATTAAACATCCTTTTATTAAATGATAATTTAAATGGTTGGTACGCTTTCAAATGTGGTTTTTACTATTGCATGTCTCTCATGTTCTAAGGTTTTAAGTACTTTGAGACGAACCTAAGCACAAAAAGGTCTTGCAGTGCATATCTAGATTAATGGGATCTAAAGGTTGTTTTGTTTGTTTTTTCTTCTCAAGTTTCGCTTCTTTGATAATTATATTAGTAATTATAATTTTGTATAAAACTACACCCAACAGTTAATGGTTTATGAAGTATTAAGCGTTTTAACCTTTGTTCACCGTTTAATTTCTGTCTGATTTTAACATTGATAATTCGGACATAACCACCAAGCGAGAAAGTGGCTTCATTGTTTTAATATAACTTGTGAAGTGATTCGATAAGCGTAGATCTATGATAAAAACGGATCAAATTGACGGTATTTAAAGACAAAGTGAACCGTATTTTATGGGTATAATTTCCCCACATATTGAATATACAAGATTCACTGTCTGACCTTTTGATTGATTCATTGCATTGGATTTGTCAATGGATAGTTCAGAATGATTAATTGATATATTTTCTATACTTGAAAGGTCACTGGGTATGCATTCAAAGTGTCAAGTAATGTCATTCTTAAAACCATTTCTTTGACTATGTACTCTAAACGCAAAGAACAATAATGAAGCATTGTGTATTATGTTTGCATAATGCAGGACACTTTGTATGTTTACTATATAAACACTGCGTTGATGAAGAATAAATGTGTCGGTTAAGCAGTGCTGAAGATGGTATAAAACGATGACGTGTAATAAAATTCATCTTCAATGCTATATTAATAACACAGTTTACGTCTTTTTTGTGTGAATAATCATTTCCATGCATCGATAACGTCTATATTTGATTACTGCATACAGATAGTTGGAACCATAGCTATATAAATTTGTGTGACGATGTAACTGTATTCAAATAGAAGGATATATCTTTTTAGTATTTCATGAACTTTCCTATAGCACAGACAGTTTCATTGTTTTTGGTAATAAACATATTACACATATTATTTTATTATAGACTTTCTCGTGAACACATTTTGTTGACGTGATTATATTGTCTGATTGTATGTTTTCAACTATATTTTAACACAACACCAAGCACTAATTGATGCACCTCAAATCAAATGCATTTCGTACAAAATCATATAATTGTTACCACACTGTATACAATTATCGGTTAACCACAAGGACAGTTGATAAGAATGAAAATATAAATGTTATTTTAACAAAGACAATATCGTTCAAGCTTACAGTCAAATACTATTTTGTGTATGCAAATCATTGTCAAAGATTTAACATTACCGTATTTTTTCTCGGCAAGCCGACATTTAGATATTTTGAACCTTGCTCTGGTTAATGGTCTCAATGTACTTTTTAAGTTATTTTGCTGTATAAATGATTCCTTAATTAAACATTATTTGCAGGATCTTCGCGTTTTCTATTAAAGGAGACTTTAGTGTGTACAATTACAAAATAGTTAACATCAGGCGTCTCCTTATTTTTTTATTGAGTTCACCACTTTTTTTAAGAATGGCAGGCGATTGTGTCAATATTCTGAGACTGTGTTGATATAAAGTGACAATATTCTGCTTAAAAACGCGAATCAAACCAATAAATTTCAACTTCGGGTCGCATCAAATTTGATTTCTATATTTTATTTATGAAAATTAATCTGACTGAGTGATTAGGCGGCATAGCACGAAATAAAAATTTGTTTTGTTTGGCTTTCATTTTTTTCGGATGTTTGACCAACAGAGTATAAAGTCAGATTGCTTGCTAATTTGCATCAAACCATTTGTTTTTTTTTTGTTTTTTTTTTGTTTTTTGCTTTCCATCAATATAACAATACATGACGTCAATATCAATGCATCAATCTTCAACTTTCTCATGACTTCAAGGTAGTACTAGCAACCAGTGGTTAATCAAATTTAAGACAAGTTAAAGTCAAATCAAATAATGCTGTAATAATTTATATAAGACATTTATAGACTGATATGAAAAAGGATGCGTTGTATGACCATTAATTTTATTTTCTCAAAACATAATGTATTTTAGGCTTTCTGTTACAGTTTCTCAAATTGTATTCATTGACCATCTTGCTGAACAATTGTTCGTTTTATGACTCTTTTAAAAGTTAAAGAAAAAGTTAAATGTTTAATATAGTAGATGAAATACCACTAGGTTTCAGTTGTTTTGTTACTTCTAAAGTAAAAGAATTTAGCAAACAACACTTTTGCCTTTTCTTTAAAGAAAATTTGCATTCATTTGTGTAGGTAAATGTAATAACTTTAGGGATGTAAAAAGAAAACAAATGAAGTACATAGCTTGTTTTTTTTCTTTTGTAAGCTGACGAATGTCATTTGTTTTATGATCAATTACGAGTATAGAGATTTCATCAAAATGTTCAAGATAATATTTTCCTTGTACATGCACGCAAGATTTAACAGTCATTGAAATATGAACTTACATCCCTAAAGGAGGCACAAAAATAACACAAATGAAAATGTTGCAAACTCGGTTTGATTTAGCCAGTACATGGAACGAAGTGGTATTTGCAGGTTACCGTCCATGCCCCCTAGCAACGGCTTAAGTAGAATCATGGTCCAATAGTAAAAAGAAAACGAGAAAATAACGGATTTAACTTAACATTATTGAATTTTGAAAGGGTTCAGAGGTTATGAAGCCTGGATTTCACATTAACCCATCTTTATTACGGTAGCTTTAGGATACATTGATCTGTCTAAATATAGATTTTGATAGGTTGAGATTGCTTTTTTATAGTCAGTTTTGCAAGTCGGTAGCTATCTAAAACATTCTTGGTTGGGTTTTACCTCTCACCAACCTAGTACTGGTCATATGGCGGCTTTTCACCTTTACTGGTGGAGAAAAACCACAGGTGCCCCTCCGTGCATTGTTTCAGACACGAGCGAGCATCAATATAAAACCACCGACATTCCGTAAACTAGCTGGATAGCTTCCTCATATAAAATAAATCCAAAATCTCCAGACGGATCTTGAACATTACAGAGCTATGTTTATATGTTGCAAGATTGCTTTTCTATTACAAACATAATTTATATCTAAACCAGAGGTAATACTCGTTTTTAACACTTATATTGTAGTTTATGTTTTAAATTTTACATTAATACTTTTTCATGTCTTATCTTTTGATTATGCAAGATTTTATTTTCAGCTTTGACTAGCAGCAACTTAAAGTGACAGATATTGACAAACAGTTTCAAAGCGTTATTGTATTTATGTGATAATTTTGTTTAAAATGAACCAGCATTTTAGGATGAGGTTGCATACCATTATTACACTTCATGAAGCGTTATATTAAAGTGATGATACAAAAAATATTTTCTTGATCATAGGCTTGTGTTTAAATATTTTGTATACATTATAGCATTTAAGTTGATTTGAAATTAAATGGTATTACATATTTTTTAAAACATAATCATCACACTAATTGAAAAAGCAATAGGACAAAATCGTTTGTTCAAATCTTTGTTCATTGAAGCATTTCAATGTTCTGCTGTAGTCTGTTACATTCTGATCAATAATCAATAATTCCTTTGATCAGAGTCCTTATTATTAGATTATGTTTTATAGTTCATCTGTTTAACTGTTTATCACATTTCATTATTTCTGTTTCAAATGAGATATATGCAAAAAGAATTTTCTGTTCTATAATAAATTTGGTAAGAGGGACATTACCCTTTTGTTTCAAGTTTTATTTTCAAACTTTTGGTGCAGTCATGCTCGGTCTATTTGTTCTATGTCATCATCAACTATGACCAAGTCTCTTGTTCCTTCTTTTGTTTAAGAAATTAATATCATGTGTAAATGCATTTGTCTTTTACTCTCTAATACATTGTAAAAAGACGATGTTGGTGTATTTTTCACATTGACAAGTCCCTTTAATATGTTTGTTGTTGTTGTTTTTTGTGGTTTTTGAGATTATTATTATTAACTATATATATATATCCGTATTAAACTAAACTGGACACTATCAATACCTTTATGCTTTAGAAATTTTCTTACGAAAAATATCCAAATGATACATTGTTTTATCAATACATGTATTTGAAAATCTTATGAAAATGTGCCTATTATGGACTTATACATTTTAATTCTGTGTACAGTATACGTGAACCACTGTCTTGTTTTAGGTTATTCTTTCCTTTAAAGTTTTGATCGGTATCATTCCACATGATAACCATATGTGCATAACACTTCTTCGAAAATAACAAATTAAACACTAAATCTTCTTAAAAACTTTCCAGACTGTTGTCTGCGGCACTAGAGGTTTTTGCGTTACAATTAAAAATTACAGGTTCACGTTTGATGTTACGGATGAATTTTTTAGATGTTTGGACCTTTAGGCTTTTTTATTCAGACTTTAATAAAATGATTCTTTGCTTCGTTTCGACCTTCTTTAATTATTTATCTAAACGGTATATCCTTCTATGACCTTATTAAAACAAGAAACAAAGAATTCAGTTTTATAGATTTATTTTCCTTTTCCCATGATGAAAATAATGTTCAAGTAACAACAACAAAGTATTAATGATTGAGAAGCACATAAATTAATAAAACATAAAACATTATACACTTAGGAAAAAACATTATACACTTAGAAAAAAAAACAGCCCTATGTATGTCATAAGGTACTAAGTGAATCGTATAGTGAACTTTTTATTTTTCAAAAACTTCATAAAATTCTACTGATTTACAATATCTTGTAATAGTCATGTAACTGATGATTTTATACTGCCTTTTACAAGTTTAAAATATAAAGTTATAGTAAAAAAAAGGATGCTAATGTCAAGAAAATAAATTTCTCTTTCGTCAAAATATCAAAACTACTTTATAATATACCAAAACAGGTTAAACTCATAAATAATATAAGGTGTTTTTCTTTCAACGAAAACATATCATCATGTATTGTTCTTTAATTAATCCGTTACCATACTTAGCGATATAGAAATTAAAATGTTCGTTCTTTTAAAATTACAAAAACTGAATAAAGATGAAAATGTTTTGATGAGAACTGAGAACACAATGCATTAAATTATAGCAAAAACAAATTTGTTATTTTTATTTATAACGAATTTATAAAGAATTGCACAAAATGCCGTAGAATTTACTTGCTGGTATGATGAATAAAATATACAAATTTAAATATAGGCTGAACACTTTAGAACAGAAATGTTTTGGTATTTAAAAAGGCGATAAAAAATGCAATAATGTCATGATACTATTAAAAGACGTTTTCTTTCAATTTTAAAATATGGCACTATTTCTATTCTTTCAATATAAATATACATACAACGTCATTGTAGAGTCTTCTATAGTATCAAATACATAATAAAATGGCACATTTGAACCAGAAAGAATGTTAATCAAATCAAATGCGGCCCATTCCTTGTAAATAAAGATTGGACACCAATTGTCTATGTGAAGACAAGGGTGATACACCCTGTCTGAAGTAAAGAGAGTCAATGCCTGATAACAGGGCGGGGTTGTGTCCGTGGGAGCCAGGGTACGACGCCCAGTAAGGACTTGATGTGATCATGCGCTGCATGTTGGAGTAACTTCCGGCTTCTGCCAATAACTCTAGACCAACTGCTGTTTGCCTCTTCCACTTTGTTCTGAATTTAGAGAAACAGATCATAATTATTATGTTTCGAATATCTAAAATAAAATAAATATAGATATTTAGCGTAAATATGAAATGTAATTATACCTAATATCCGATTTCATTTAGAAATGCAAAATTATATGAAAATTTGAACATTTGTTATGTGCTACAAAAAAAACACGCAATTTTGTTTGTTATTTCGGCGATGAAAGTCTCATCATGACGCATTTATTAGATATTGTATTCTCCTTGGAAAGCCCTTGTTATGCATAAATATCACTGATAACTGCAAAAACAATTGCTTGCCTTTTTCCATTTTTTTTTAAAACTATCATAATTTATGCCATCATTAATTTCATTTTATTATTTTCCTCCAAGACATTAATAACTGATGAATAAATTTTGCCTAAAAAATAGCATTCAATGAGAATAGATAAAGAATTAAGTGACAGGAAAAAGGAAACTGCTTTCTACAGGTAAACGGTGCCATATGTCGGGCAATATGTCGTGCAAATTATAACTGTACAATTATTTTCTTTAATAGCAGTTCTCCTTGATAGAATCGGTATCAAATATTATCCACACCTCCAGGCAATTAACCTGGGCGCATCACTTTAATCATGCATTCATATCGATCGTTTAATTCGAGATAGTCAAATGAAACCTTATGTCGTAGGTTGGTGACCGTTTATGAAAACTCGAAACAAACACGACAATGTTTTCCAACATGAATGATTTTATTACTTCATCTAAAATTCATTAAAAAATCAAGGTAGTTTTGGAGAAAACGCAAATGATGATCGTTATTGCTAAAAAAATATTAGTTTCTATGCATTCCTAGAAATGATGTCAATGTAAGTTAAATATTTCCTAGTACATTAGATGAAAAAGAGAGAAAGGTGATTAAATACTTTTATTTTATAAAGTGAATGTTTTTACCTTCTGTTTTGATACCATGTTTTAACTTGGGTATCGGAAAGGTTCAGTTTTGCCGCCAATTCCATTCTGTCTTGCACACTGAGGTATTTTTGTCTCTCAAAACTTTTTTCTAAAGAATTCAACTGATGGTCTGTAAATGCAGTTCTTGCTTTTCGTGACTTCTTGCTTGATTTGAGAGATCCGTTTTCTGATCCAGGGGAAGGACTTCCGTCTCTTGATTCTGTAAATAAAGAAATAAAATATTGTTTAAAGTATCAACGGAAATCATTTTATATAAAAGACCCTTTGCTTTGCATAAGGTAAACTCTCTTGATACATATATCGTAAATACACACGTGACAATAAGTTGAGGACATCTTAAGAGTTCAGTCTGCTTTATTTTTTTATTTGTACTGTGGTAATTTTTTTATCTGTTTATCATTTCTTTGCTCCTTTTTCTCATCTTGTAATAGAAACCAAATTAATTAAGACAAAGATTAAACGAAAATTTTGGCTGCGTTACATTTTCTCTCATACTTTGTGTACAACGATAACGTTTTAACGACGACGCTAGAGTATTTGAGTAATGTGTACAATTCTAATGACCCATATGACTTACTTTCAACAATAAACTTAAAATATTCTATCTTTAATCGTTTAAGGCATCTTAGCGTTAATTTAAACCACACTTTGTTATCATAACTTCTGTGTTTTTTGTTTTTATCATAATGGTATCTTCGTTAGCAGTAAGTTTTTTCCATTTAATTGGCAATGACGTTGCTTGTTTCTTTTTGAAAATTGAATTATCTTTTATCGGTCCTTAAAAAAAGATACAATTTTAGCAAAACTGTTTAACATCTTTCTGCATTGTATCATATCATCGGATCACAAATACTCCGGGTATCTTGTAACCGAAAGTTATTTATTTCATCTGAAATATTTTGTGGTTTTAAAACTGAAGAATGTTTCCATTTTTAACAAAATTTGGGCTGTTTGGGTGTTTCTTGTTACATTTGATACAGTTTCACGCAATGGACGCACGACCCGTGGCAGTTGTATTGTCCAATGTTTAAACAGGGTTAAGTAACAATCTTGAGATAGTGTAACAAAACACGAACGTGTATGAACAGTTCAAATCAGCACGATAACACTAATTGTTTATGTGAAACTATTTTAACACTTCACAATTAACTTTGTCTCAGTATTGTTTTAACTGTAACAAAACCTTTAACGAGATAGTATTTGTGTTTGTGCTCCTTTTCTGATTATTTGTTTACTGTTCCACCGCTTGAAAAGATATACCTTTATCTCATCTTGTTCAAGAAATCGTGTAAATAGATAATGAATTTAAGGGTGCAAGTTGGGGGTACCGTGTATTGCATGTTTTTTTCTGAAATAAGTCTGAATAAAAAACATATAAGAAATATATCTTTATATTTTTTCATTTCGCCTAATTTGTCCATATCGATACCTAAAATCGCTTTTTAATTTGCAACAAAACGCATTTATGTTTTCTATCTTAAACATTACTAGATGCTTTTTAAATTTTGTTTTACCACCAGTAATTCTATCATTTTGCATATCTCATTCCACTTACTATTATTATTTATTATTTAAATATGCAATAGTTTGTTTGTACTATATTCATTTATAAAACTAAAAACTACAAAAAAAATATTATAATACTGATGACACAAAACAAAAGAAAAACAACAAAGGTATTCAATTTTGTTACCACATGATTGTTTGATAATAGTTTATGATAAAAAGTTGATTTAATCTACAAAGTTGTAACATTCATCATATTCTACGCATTTTAAAATGTCTTAAAACGTTTCCGATAGATTTGTTTTGGCACTGGCACAATATATGTGTCATTTTTGATATTCCAATTGTTTTTTAAAAAATAAATATGTGATTTGATAGGTAAGAATGATAAAAAAAATGATTCATTTGTTTTAACCAATACAAATGCCGAAAATGATCTTTAATTTCTATGGGAAAAAAATAATTAAGTGCAACATTTATTGGGAAAAGGCTCATTCTCCCGGATTTATGATAGCCCAAAAATTGTGGAAGACCCCGGGAAATCACGAGAGGGACTTAGATAAGGATATCTTCAGCATCACAATAGAAATTCAGGCAGTCGGAAAAACACCCCGACGTCGATATAACTTGTCGCCAATTTGGGATTCGGCTGAGTAAATTATAATACGATTTGTGGTTAAGGGACACAATGGGAGGATACGCAAAATAATCAGGTCTTCCTTACAGCTCGTTAATACCCTGTAAAGGTTAATTCTTCCTGATCAAATTACGTGGTTGCTGAATTGTTAGAATTACTGCCGCATTAGCTGATGGTTTTGTCTATCTCGTCACTGCCTTTGTTTATATCAGGAGTTGATTTGGTTACATTTATCTTATGTGTCTAATCTTTCAACGATCTTGATGTTCGTAAATTTGCAACTTTTAACAATAATGTTGTTTGACAAAAGAAACTATTTAAGAGCATTGATAACAATCGGTTTTTTTGTTCGCAACAAATCTGTTAGTTTTTTTTTATAAATTTCAACCCTCCTTATTACATGTAACTACTTAACTGAATGTGCATTTTCTATAATTATTTAAGAATGTATTTTACTTCATGTCATTACAGATGCTTTATGGTAGAACTGATAAATGATTTATGATATATATTTTATATAAAAAAATGTTCTACAATTGTGTTGCTTTGTTTCTTGCTACCAATTTTCAACAAATATTTCATGAAATGAATATTGACAAGTTTCATAAATTTAAATGGCTATTGTTTTGCGTGGTACCTAATTGATGCCATAATTTGTCCCGCGTAAACATCATTTCTATTGCGTCTTTTTCAAGCACTTTTTGAAAAGCGTTCCATTACGCCGTCCATTTTAATTTCACTGTCTGTTAAGGTTTAATTATGAATAAATTATTACCTTTCAACGGATGACAAGAGAAAGTTATGAAATGTGTAAATACTATTAGAAAGTCCTAAATATTTAATTAAGCGTTTTGTACCATAATGCAAAATGATCTTCGCCGGCATACTAGCCATATGTAGCATTGTGCATATTTATCCCTCCCAAACAATTGTTTTATTCCATTACATTTTAGTCTCTTGTTTTAACCCATTAGAAGAAAAACTATTTTACTTTTTTTATTAGTCAATTAATTCACTCTATTGTTTGACTGTTTAATACATGGTGAACGTATGTGGTAACATGAAAGCGGTCATGTTTAATTGATGAAGACGATTTTTTTCCTTTTATTTGATGAATTAGAATTCAATTAGTATCTTTACTGTTCTCTTATTTCGTTCACAATCATGGCCTAATTGAAAATGAACGTCCGCTAGACAATTTTATTTCTATTATGAGTTGTTTTATTTGTTGACTTTTTTATATATCTATATATTTTGTTGTGGTTGTTGTCGGGGGTAGTGGTGTTTTTTGTTAATAGGGTTCCATCATTTTGGTGTACAATGAATTCATATTATTTTTACTTGTTCACTCTTTGAAACCTTTAAACTAACATGAATGTACTGGATAGGTATCATTTAAAAATTCACATTCTATATAGTTTACAATTGTATATTGTTTACAATATTGCCAAAGTTTTGGTTCCGATCAAATAGTGTGTAATATGAAAAGAAAGACATAATACACGCTCAAAACACGATTATCTTATTCTTTTAAAATCTGAGTAGCAAGTTTCGAGTTTTTTATTCGGTAAATGTTGTTTTATGATAAATATATGATATTTATGTCTAAATGATAGTGCCCGTACCAAACATAGTATGACAATTTGTCTAAGAAATAAACAATTGAGTCATAAAATATAGAAAATATAGAGACTTCATCTCGAGTATGAACATATATTAGAATGTGTCTAATGCCTATTCCCTACAAGAGGCACAGTTAAGATAAGGTGAATGTTTATTAAGATAAAACTTATAATTCGTAAATGTTGATAAGGTAATAAAAACTAAAATTACAATAGTACTCAAGCATAGAATTGTTCCAATGAAAATCGAAATTTTGATGGTTTAGTTGATTGTAAATACAAAAGTTAATGGTAAAAAGTATTTAACTATACAATACAAGTTGAATCCCGTTGCATATCAATATCATGCTAATATATTATATATGTGGCATCTTATGTTCTTACTTAACGATACGACTTTTTCATCACCATATATATCTATGTTTTATGTTATGGGACACTGTATTGTATAACGTAATAAAATTCTGTTTTTGGTATGTTTTATAAAGATATAACATTTTGAATACTGTGATATACCCATGTATATTTTAAAAGATAAATTATATAAATATTTTTTTTTGCAATAAGAAACAGTACGATAATAATAAGATGAACTTACCATCATCTGAGTCCGGAGAATCACATCTTTCAGAAGGAGACAATAAAAGTCTTGAAGATGCAGACGACTGTCTTTGGGCTAATATTGCAGCTGTTTTTTGAATGTCAATTGTATGTGATACTGGTGTTAATGGTGTGCACGGCGTACAGGGCGTGCACGGTGTGTTTCCAACTGACGAGTCCGTCTCCGAATCTGTACGTTTATTGTCTGATAAAATATCTGTTATTAAAAATGATGGTCTTACTGCAGGTTTAGTAACTTTTTCGGAACGTTTAGTAAACATGTCACAATTTGAGTCTTTGGTAGGATTGCTGTGATTGTTCTGAATATCCGTTACACCATGGAGACGTTCTTGAATTCTAAGATCAGTCGCCGTTCCAGAAACGTCCTGTCCATCTGATTCGACATCAACGTGATCTTCAACTTCAGAGTAGCTGTCCGATTCCTCGGACACATTTGTAGAATTCATTCTCACTTTCCGGTGTATCATTGTTTATTAATCAAAACAACTTAGTCAGTAAGTCACTTTCTTTGTATCCTCTATAGTCTTAAACTTTTAAGTACCCAAACACTTTCCCCTCGATGTTCACGCTCGCACTGTCAGGTGATGAATGTCTTATGTCCCTAACTTGCACCTTATTTGAACAAAATATGTTAACACTTTAACCTTCTTCACTGTGATTATCTAGTTTTAAAATCTTTGAAGTTACTTCAATTGTTTGACAATAGTTAACTACCGCAATGCGTATATCAGCGTTTTAAAATAGTCACCAACTTGTCATACTATCAGCTTAAAAATGCGATAGGTTTCGAGTAGATGACACCCGTAATAATTGTAATCACAAGTACTAAAGCAGTATTATTGGCATGGCATCGATTTTCACGTTAGATGGCGAGTTCTTCCTATTGATATTACAATGCGCAGTGTTTTCAGCTGTCATCGACCAAATTAAGGTCCGCCTTAAAGAGTTTAACAGCGAATTGAATGAATATTGGATTTTACGGGGGCGGCGCACAGTTGGGTAGAATCACAATTATAAGGCAATGAATTACTGAACACTTTACATGAAGTGAAAATAGAATGAAAACAATATCAGGCGGAAAAAAAACTTGAAAAGGGTTTGCGTGTCGCTTATCGAAGTATCTACAATCATTCTAAACAATGTAAGGGAAATTCAAAATTACAAAATTAAGTAATTACTCCATTGGCGCTTAAACGGTTTAACGGACAATGCGTAAATATATAACAAAATTACAGTAATTTTAGGAAGAGTCATTTATAAAATTATAATAAAGTTGCTCGTTGTCGCCGGTCTTTTGATGGACTAATCTGTTTGAGGGTTGTTGGTTAAACTAATATTCAATAATTACATAGATAGTTGTTAGAATTTTAACACTTGTATCTCGGTCTGTTGGGGGTAAATATTTTACATTTTCGAAGATAATTCATTTTTAAACGGTCTATCATCGGGTATTATTTAAATGTATGTTTTTGGAACTATGACGCATTTCACAAGAGTGTAGAACCTTACCTATCAAAATAATCTATCTCATTATTATACTAAATGTTACAAATAGAAGGAATGCATACAATGAGATTGAGACAAACATTCAGATATCATATGAAAAATTGCAAGAAGAATATCATAAACATGACATTTAGAACATACCAAAAATGAAAAACATGTCGACCATTTAAGACACGCCTTCATATTTTTGTTTATTTTTTTGTGTGATACACCGCAACGAAAAAATAATTACAAGAGTTTGTTGACAAATTTCATTTCAATTCATTTCATCCACTCGTTCACCAAAAACCATAATAATAATCAATTTTACAAAAAAGGGAAGAAAAATAACCACTGAATACTATTCATATCACCAAGTATAAATGACGGGCCTGATATTGCATTAAAATCACCGATTAAAACGGTTCGCTGCCACAACGTACACAGATGTTTCTTTGCCGATATAAAGATGATGCTTGACTTGTGCTTTCACAGGTAAATACCTTTCATAGCGACCATTGTTGTGCCCTTGTGGGAATTAACTTCCTCGCAGTAAGCCATGTTAATCTTTTTCCAAAGGTTTGTCATAGATATGACACGGGAGTGCGTTGTAAATCAGTTTTTCTATTAGAATGAGTCAATTTACAAGTTACTTATCCGTTTCTAATTGAATCCGTGGCAGATGCATTACACTGTATTGGTTGCTTCGACCAGTTATTAAGAATCTTATTAACATACGGGTTGGGAAGATTGAAAAACAGATTAAACAGATAAAACAACAAAACTTTTAGAATATTTTTAATACCAATAAAACGGTCAAATTGAGTACATTTATGACACATAAAATTGATACAACTAAACACAAGTGAACGTGATAATGTGATATCCATTATATGTATAGTTGAGGTTATATGAAGGTTGACTGTTTGAAATTAAAATATTTGACAGAAGGTATGAACCTTATAATAATATTAATTATGTAGTATACACGTTATTACAATCACATGTTATCCATTTTTAGTATAGCTGAGGTTATATGAATGTTGACTGTTTGAAATTAAAATATTTGACAGGAGCTATGAGCCTTATAAACGTGATTATAAAAATATTAATAACGGCTTAAACAAAGTTAATTTGAATGTTTTAAAAGTTTTCAGAAATGCTGTGTTTTAAGGAAACAAGTTTATTAAGTGGCCAACTAACATAGCTAAAAGAACCCAATTTGTGTTTCTTCAATAAAATGACAGAATTGAATGAAACGTCAATAAAGTTAAAATATTAATCAACGCCCCTGGATTTAAAATACAATTTGTTACACTAAAGAAACAGTCAAATAAGAAATCCCTCTCTTTGATTAGCATGGACATAGTTGAGCACAGAAATGGCATAAATGAAAACTTATTTAGTCAGAAACCTCTCTGTGATTAGCATGGACATAGTTGAGTACAGAAATGGCACAAACGAAGACTTATTTCCATATACACACATACATACGCTTTTGTTGTGTTTGCTTGTTATCATGTATGCTACAGACTGAAGTAGAATGAATGTCTTCAATATTTTTTTCTTGTTTTTAAATAAAGTCAGCGGATAAAACCCCCGTTTATAGCAGTAATATTTGATTACTATTACCTATGAACTGTGACCGAATGAATTCTTGTGAAAAAATAAACATGGTTATGACTGACTAATAACATCAATTGCATGGTAAGTGAATTAAACCATTTTATTCAGAACACACAGTGAGTATTTTTTTTCGTTCGCTCATCTGGCAGCGCGACCTAAGGCGTCAAGTATGGGGTATAGTAAAAGATTTCTTGTGGCGAAAGGAGAAAGAATCTTAATTGACCAAAGAAAAAGATTATCGCTGTGAATTTTAAAGGAAGTAATTTCATGACAATTTAGCCACCGGTTGAAAAGTAAAATTTAATAAATGTTTCAATCCTAATGAGGATTAAAATTTCCTATTCATATTCGACAATATGACGGATTATGGTTAAGTAATCAATTGAATGTATGAAATATGTGCACTGGGTTTGATTTTGTATTTCTCAAGTCCACCTACTACCACATGTTTCTTTTTAATTTGACAAACCCTTTTTTTCAATTTGGTCAAGTGCTTTGGCGAGATAGGATGAGTTTGAAAATAAAACCAATTTGGCAATGGGTACTTATGTGATTCAAATAAATTTCTTGTTTACAAACTGTTCAAGTAGTTAAAACTACTTTCTGCAAAGTCATAATTTTTAAAAAATAAAAGTTTTAGTCAGTCAAGTGCTAGAAAATAGGTATGTTTTATTGTTTGAAGGTAACATCCGTTTCTTTTTTTTTTTTTTTTTTTTTTTTTTTTCTTTTGCGGAAAGTACCTCGGTAAATGAGTAGCTGTGAAGAATGCCAATGTGGCCCGGATAGATTTTGATTTGAAACAAACCTCGGGTAACTAGACTAATCTAAAATATCACAGTGTCGATGTGATATATAAAGTTTTCAAATATAAAAGAATTACTTTTTTCATTTCTAAAGACCTTGACGCTTATACTAGTATGCACGAATTCGCTCTTTATTTTACACATACGCTAATAAATTAGTCAGATACTATCCGATATATTTTTTTAACATTTTTCTTCATTTTTTCACGCGTTCTACAGAATATTGATTTTTAATTCTTCCTGAATTCATAATAAGAAAAAAGCAATAAAATTAATTCATTAAGTCGATTAATTTTGCTCTTAATTTGGTCATTAGATAGTCATGAAAATATGTTTCCATAAAAATATAGTGGTAAAAAGGTAATGTGTGTGAAGTGTGTCGAAATAATTGCATTGATGACGTCACTATGACATCAATATGCAGGCATTCGCCATTGTTACCTTGAACTAAACTTGAAAGAATTGTTGATACTTTTAATTGAAATGAATGCATTTTAGACAGATTTTTAATGACATAACAGTTGTAACGTTTGCAAGGCTTAGAATCAGACATTTTCAAAATAATTATTAATTTATATTTCACTTTCAACTTAAATAATTTACCTATATATTTCATAAATATTCACTTTCATAGGAAAGTAATGACTTTATGGACAATTGAATCTTTTCCTCTGAGTTTATTCCAGCAATCACTTATTTATTTAAACTTGTTTATCTTACTTTGTAAGCTATCGTATCATCACAGATAGTCGACGCCTAAATTTACGCAATATAATCAAAACAAAGTAGACGCATTAACTATTACTAATATATGATAAATCATTAGTGGTATAAGTTTCAACTATTGTGTGCAATATAATGATAACTACGTTCAAAATAATAATATGAGATACATGTGTTTTGCTCGAAAGGTACGATAAGCATTTTATGACAATTGTGTATTGAGAGCTGTTACATTTCATTAATTAACTGCTCAAGATTGATAATTCATATAAAATATTAACCGAAATGCTACCAACGTTTTAAAATGAAGCGTTGTAGAATTAAATGGATTTAAATTGGCAATTTGAACGCTCTAATGGGTAATTTCTAGGGTTGCAGGGACGTGGGTAAAACCATTTAATCATTGATGATCTCGGAGTTGAAGCTTCGTGATCGGTCTTCGATCTAACAATTCATGAGAAATCATGCATTTAAATGAGAACTTAGGGAAACTCGTTTAAACAATAGGTTTGCTAAAAGTATTCCGTTAAATTTTAAATATTTCATCGTTTAATTGACATGGGGTTTTGTTAATTTATATTGGCGGTGCTGTGCTTAACTCAATACAAAACCATTTAAGTCGGCTGACGGGATATACGAGTCATAACTGCTAATAAACGTGAAAAGAATAACTAAATACTGTTTTATCGGCAGAACTGATCTCAAAATCAATAAGAGAAATCTAAAAAGCGTTCACACTTTAAAATCATACGACGATTGTTTCAGACGCAATAATTTAAGCTGCGACGGAGCGATTGTTTTGGTTTTGTTTTGTTTTGTTTTGTTTTTTGTTGTTGTTTGTTTTTCACAGCAAAACGATATGCAATACAGTTGACACGCCGTAAATCCAAACTGCTACTGTTAAACATGTCCGCCAGTATTCGATACCGCGTTGTTTTGTTGTTATTGTTTTTTCTATAGATACGGCTCTCTATTTCTTAATGAAAACGAGCTCTTCTAAATTGTAATAGTTTTCATCTTTATTGTAACAAAAAATTTTAATTACATTTATGAAAAAATGTTTCTTTATGTGAAAAATAAACTGAATTTACCTGAAGGCATGGTTCATCAAGAAACAGCCTGTTAATAAACACCACTTTTTCATCGGGTAAAATCATCTTAACAGTCATGTTAAAATGTATATTAAGGTTATAATTATCTGACATAG